GGTATTATAGGTATTATAAAAATTCTTGATACACTTATAATAAATTTTATTAGAGCATTTTCACTTATATAAGATTTAAAATTAAATCTTGACTACATAATAAAAAAAAAAAAATTTAGTGAACATACCATAGACGAATTTTCCTATTTGAATATTCAAGGTACTTCTATGGATGTAGCCAAAGGGGTCGTAATTTTGCTCGTAAGTTGCCTTAGTTTTACATTGCATTGCATACTTTGCCAATTTCTTTTGCTTTAATTTTTTGCTACTATTCTTATAAATCTTGTACTGACTGTCTAGAATTGGAGCTATTGCCATTGAATTCTTCTAGCTTGAAGAGCGTGAAAGAAACATCAAATAATATCATTTTATGTATACAAACCAATCTAAGGATAAATTTGTCTAGAACCTTAGATGGGTTGGCTTGATTTAGAGATTTAGGGATTTTCGTATGGTGAAGGGAATAAGAAGGGAGTTTTTGTGGGTTGTTGATATGGATTTTTTTGGGCCCTCAAACCAAATTCATCCAAAAAAAAAAAAAAATTATTGCACTTAATGGTAAAAAATTCCTCTGTTAATGGGAGTTATAAATGGTGTTAGGGTTGTGTCAGGAAAGGGAGGTAAATGTAATGGAAGTTAAAGTAGAGGGAGGATTTTGAAAAACTTGTAAGTATAGGGAGAAAAATAAATGAAAGTTGAAAGTAGAGGGACTGTAGTTAGCTTTAACCCTTTTACTTTTCCGAGAAATAACTCACCCTACGATTTTGCAAGGACATTTTGATTCTTACATATCTCAAAATTACAATAAATAAGGCAAAAGTAATATCTTTAATTTTTATTTTTTTTTGACTTAATTCTTAATTTCTAAAGTTTTCTTAATATTTATTTCTAAAGAAAAAAGCTCCCCTATGACTTTTTTTTATATTAGATCTATTTAACAACTTTCTTTATTAAAATTTTTCTATATCAATTTTTTTAAATACAACAAAATTAATAATCCAAATAAAATTTCAACAAAACCTCAATACAAAAACTTAACAATTTTTTATACAATACTTTCTAACCTTTTATTTAATATTTTTACAACTACTTTTACGATAAAAACTTTCCAAGGAAAGTGGCCTCTAACTAAACACACCCTTAACGTTTCCAAACACCACCATAGTGTCAATGGCTTAAGAATCGACTAAGATCCCAAACTTTCACCAAACCCATAATTAAGGTTTCAAAGTTCTATTGTGCTTAAGTAAGGTAATTAAGTCATTGAAATTCTCAAAGTGGATCCAATTGAAAAGAAACCAATAGGTCCTCATTAATACAGTTAACTTTAATGGGTTAAATATTCAAAATGGTCCCTCACTTTTCTG